GTCAGGAGGAACTAGTCACTGGAGAAAGATATCATGTTTGGTAAGGTGGAGGGTCAGAGAAAAAGAGGAAGACCCCTAACGAGATGGATTGGCCAAGTGGCAGCATCGATGGACTCAAGCATGGCAACAGTGGTGAGGTTGGCCGAGGAACAGGCAGTGTTTAGTTCTGCTGTGCATAAGGTTGCTATGAGTCGGTTCCAATTCGATGGCACCTAACAATAGCAACCACATTTGGGGAGTGGAGCTGGAAGAGAAAAATTCTTAAATAGATTGTATTAGTAATCATAGAGTTACCCATGGAAACCTGGTGTGGTGCTGTAGGATAATCACTGGACTGAAAGGTTATTTGAATTGCTAAGTCTGCAGTTCAAACTCACCAGCTGCTCCTCAGAAACCATATACAGGGTTGCTATGATTTGGAGCCAACTCGACGGCACTTAACAATAACAACAGCATCAGAACTACATACAGGATATTAGGAGGAAATCTTTATGCCATTTCGTAATTTAAGTCTCCTGTCTGAACCTTAAGGAGCTCTAATAGCACAGTTGGTTAAGCACTTGGCTGCTGAGAGGTTGTTACCCATCAGCCTCTTAGCAGGATAAAGATGTGACATCTATTGTATAGATTTACAACCTCAGACACCTTGTGGTGCAGTTATACTCTGTCTCACAGAGTTACTATAAATTGGAATCGATTCAGTGGCAACTTGTTACCTAAACTAGAGGTGGGGAACCTTTTTTTCCTGCCAAATTTTATAATATCACTATCTTCTTTCTTCTATCAACCTCCTTCTTATTGTATATTGCCTTTCCTATCACCAAGGACTTCTGGTGTGGCTGCTGTGGGATCATTATGCAGGACTGCGAACCACAAGCCGGCAGTTCAAACCCACCAGCTGCTTCTCGGAAACACTATACAATATCATCCACTATGAGTTGTATCGACTAAATGGCACCTAACAACACCAACATCATTAACCAAGTGGGAGTCTTGGTGTAGCACTATAGAATAAGACTGGACCGTAAGGTCAGTTTGAACTACAAGATCGGCGATTCAAACTCACCAGCTGCTCATTGGAAACCCTATACATGGTGCCCAATCGATAGCACACCACCACCGCCACCGGCAGCGGCAGCAGCAGCAGCAATGAATTGCATTAAATTCACTGTATGGCTACCAGCATAGACCTATTATTATGTGAATCCTTTGGAATAGATTATCTTAATTTTGTTTCTGTGGCGTTTGAAATTTCTTCATTTGTTAAAACTTTTTATTGCGTGAAAATGTCTCCTTTTAGAGGAGGACTAGCCGAGGTTCGACAGCTCAGATGACCACGTGAGCTGTGGACCACGTTTGGGAACTACAACTCCCAAGGTGCTCTGCGGGCGCCCCGACAGGAAGTGGCTGGAGCATCTCCCGCCTCCACGCTGAGGCGAAGAGGTTCTATCCGGGGCCTTGGCGCTTCTCTTTCCTTTCGCGCCGGTTGCCGCTGCGGAGCGCGGTGGGTCCATGTGCGCAGTGAGCGCCACTATTCCTGGACCACTAGCACTCGAGCCTCTGGTTTGTCTGAGTCCGCGCTGCGATGGACCCCAACACCATTATCGAGGCCCTACGGGGCACTATGGACCCTGCCCTGCGTGAGGCCGCGGAGCGCCAGCTCAATGAAGTAAGAACGCGGAGGCAGGCATACAAACTGTGGCAGGCCGAACCTTCCGGGCCTGGCCCCAGGGGCAGGCAGCGTGGCTGAGGGGCCCAACTGGAGGGGTGGGGCGGGGACCGGACGACGAGTGCCACGCCGGGGCGACTGGCGGCGGCGGCCCAGGTAGTCCTTGTGTCGGAGTCTGAGTTGGGCCTCTGGCTGCGGTGGAGGCATGAGGAGCCGGCAAAGCCGAGGCGGGCGTGACGGGCTGGACACATGGCTGGCTCGTGTGGCCGGCGCCCTCTGGCTCCTTGCTTGCTTGTTTCTCGCGCCCGCGAGGGGGCGAAACTCGCTGAAGGTTTCTCTGATGTTTCCGGGTATAGAGGGGCTCTTGGGAATGCAGAATTGGCCCCTTGGAAGCTGCGCCTGTCAGCCTTGTCACTTTGCTAGGCTGATCAGCGTCCTACCTCTGTGGCAGAACTTCCTTCTCTCTAGCTGAGACGCCAGGGAAAGGTTTCCAAGGCAAACCCGCGCCTCTTTGGCAGCGCAGGGTAGTGCTCCCACCAGATGAGTCTGACCCACTGCTTTCCCACTCTAATAAATAAATGCCTCAGTGGGGAGGAGGGGTGAGTTAGTGGAAAGGCTCCCGCGAAGTGCACCCCGCCTAGGTAGACAGAGTTGCATCTCTGATTTGCTTAGTGACCTTGGGCAAGTCGCTTAGCCTTTCTTGATCAGGAATTTTTCCCATTCATAAAATTAGGCCACAGGGTTGCTGAGATGGTCAAGTGAGATAATGTAAATCTGAGTACCTAGACAGTGTCGGATTCTTTAAGGGTTATATTTTGGAGGAAACGGCAAGGTCGGTGGTCAAGCTTGCCAGTCACTCCTTGGAAACCCTATACAGGGTCGCTATTGGATCAGAGCCGACTCACTGTCACTTAACTTTTTTCCAGGAAAACTTCAATGTGCTATTTTCAGTTTGACTCTTTGCTTCTAAATTCATACAACTTTATAAATGTATATTTTGAAGGTTTCTTAAAGTGCGACTGGAACTTCATATGCCAGTTTTTGTAGTATACTACTAAGTGAGGTTTTGTGTGCAATATATATTTTCATAATTTATAAAGAAGTCTTACTTTAAAGTAGAAGTTCAGTTATTTAATGCTCTTCAACTGCTACGGAAATCATTTAAAAACTTTTTTTTGTACTGACTCACTAGAAATAACAGCAGTGTACCTAATTGAACATCTTCAGTGTACAAGGATGTACTGGATATATGTATCTGTAAGGAGTTTGTATTTTAATGTGACCCATAGAACGAAGAAAAATATGTGTAAAATTATTTCAAAAATGAAAAACTTTTAATATGCATACTAGATCATTTCTATACCATACAAAAAGTGATGTTTGAATGTTCAAATTCTTAGACTCAAAGTCACCTTGGGAATTTTAATTTCTTTAGGATATAAAATAGTTGAAATGCATTCTTACTTTCAGCTATTGTTAAACTATCCAAGGAACTTTAGGTTTTGATTTTTTTATGGTCAACACAGGTTGAAATAAGCATTATTTTGCTTCAGAAGTATTAATGCAGTTATCAATAAACCTAGTCATAGTTAGTTCTACATCGACTTTTCGAATAGCACATTATTCTGGCTAAATATGTTATTAAGTTCCATCGAGTCAGTTTCGACTTAGTAACCCTGTGTAGGGTTTCTAAGGAGTGGCTGTTGGGTTTGAACTGTCGACCTTGCAGTTAGTAGCCCAGTGCTTATCCTACAGCACCACACCAGAACTCTGACTAAATAAAATTTTGTGTAATTATTAACTTGAAAAGTTATTGCTTGAAATAAAAAGTTGATCCCCTCCCTGCTAATGTGAAGTTTCTTAAGCAGCTGTTGAGTATACTTTGTATACTAACCTCTTATAATAGAAACCTGGAGTATGTCATAAACTGGTTCAAAGATAAACAAATAATCAAAATGGTATTTGAAGCTTTTTTTTTTTTTTTTTACTTAACCAATAAGCTATTCATTGTCAGTTTTTGGAATATCTGAAGCAGGCAATGCTCCGTATATTTTTCTATCAAAGAAAATTTGGTATCTACCCTATATTTGTGTGGTTGTTAGCGATTTACATGTTGAAAAAAATTTTTTTTCAATGATTATACCTGCTGTTTTTATTTATTTTTATTTCTTAGTAATTTTCCTAAGGTAATTTTTCTGTTAATTAGAATACTCACTAATCTTCCATTTTTTAAAATACTGTTTTTTCCCCTTTTCATCTCCCATTTGAATATTTTTTGCTTTAACTTTCTTGATTTGTGGCAGATCCAGACTTAAACAGATCTCACTGAGATCATTTCAGAAGAAGCTTGAGCATAGAAAGAAAGGGGAAATAGTAACATTTTATTTTTGGTAGGCTCTTGCTTTGGGGAGGAAGATAGGATTAACTAATTCTACAATGTCTTGTTCTACTGAAGCTAATTTTTAGTTCATTTAGTTGAAAGAATAGCATCTTTGACATTTCAATAAATCTCTTTAGATAAGTTATCACTTACTATAAAAATTGAAAATACAACTTAATGCTGTAGTGCAGATGTTAACAAAATACAAAGGGGCTTCAAAAGCTCATGGAAAAAATGAATTGAAAGATCATGGAATTTTCCCACGAACTTTGGAAGTCTGCTTGTGTGTACCCTGCTTCAGAGTGCTTAGCTGTTCCATCTTGTTTGGAACTCTTCTCACCCAGTTGTTTCTGTAACTTGGTCTCTTACTTCCTTCACATTCCTCTTTAGATGCCTGGCCTTATCACTGAGGAGTTCCCTGATTATCAAACTCTTTATTTATCGTCCCTGATTTATTTTTCTTTATGGCACTGACCTAGAGTCCTAGTGTGGTGCTTTAAGATAAGCACTGGACTACTAATTGCAAGGTTGGTGGTTTAAACCCACCAGCCACTCCTCAGAAACTCTATCTAGGTTAGCTATGGGTTAGAACTGACTTGATGGTACTTAACAACAACTAGTGGTTACAAATCGGGCTGCGAGCTGCAAGGTCAGCAGTTCGAAACTACCAGCTGTTCCGCGGGAGAAAGATGAGGCATTGTTGTTAAGTGCCCTCGAGTCGGTTCCTACCCATAGCAACCCTGTACAGGGTTTCCAAGGCTGTATGTCTTTACGGGAAGCAGAACGCCTCATCTTTCTCCCACGGAACAGCTGGTAGTTTCGAACTGCTGACCTTGCGGCTCGCAGCCCGATTTGTTACCACTACGCTACCAGAGCTCTTAGGGTGAGCTAATTAAATGCTAGACCAAATATGGTGGTGGTGGTTATGTGCCTTGGAGTCGATTCCGACTCATAGCGACCCTGTACAGGGCTTCAGAGGCTGTAAATCTTTACAGGAGCAGAAAGCCTCATGTTTCTCCAGCGGAACAGCTGGTAGTTTCGAACTGCTTGACCTTGCGGTTCGCAGCCCGATTCGTAATCACTACGCGACATAGCATTGACATATATATATTATTTATTATTCTCACTATAATTTTTAATTTCGTAAGATCATGAATTTTTGTCTTTACTATTATTTTTTTATTTGTTACTGTCATACTTTATCTTTCATTTTCCTGTTATAAATAACAGGATGGGCTTTTTACCTCTCTTCCCACACATCTTCCACCTCAAAGATGCTATCTCATAGCAAACCTCTATAGGGTTTCTGGGGCTGTAAATCTTTGCAGGAAAAGAAAACCTTATATTTCTCCTGCTGGTGGACTTGAACTGCTAAACTTGTAGTTCACAGTCCAGTGATTATCCTGTGAAGCCACTGTATTTTCCATTAGACTGTTAAGGGATCATAATAAGGATTAATTGATCTATTATTGCCTTACATTAGGAGGTATTAGACATACCAGGAGTCCATAGTCTTGATGCTCTTAATTATTTTAGCTTCCAAGGTTCATGCTTCTATTCCTATTAAGATCTTCTCACCTATAACTAAACTTTTCTTACCATTAACGCTCATCAAACCCACCTAAATGGCATTTTCCAGAAAGCTTTTCCCCATATTCTAGCCTATACTTGACAACACCTAACAGCTTACATTGACCTTTCCCTACTCTGACCTTCTGTGGGACTATGTGAATTTATAAGTCATCTTTTTACACCTGTTTTCCATCTGTTGAAGTGCCCTGGTGCTACTGGACTACTAACCACAGGTTCAGCAGTTCAGACTGCTCCACTTGAGAAAGATGAGGCTTCCTGCTCCTGTAAAGATTTATAGCCTCAGAATCCCTATATAGGGTCACTAGTTTGGAACTGACTTGATGGCAGTGGGTTTAGTTTTGGTTTGGTTCTACCTACTTTACATTTAAACTGTTGATTTTATTTAAACTGTTGATTGCCAGCTGACCCTTCAACTATAACAGATAACTGCTTTTGAATTTTTTTTCTCCAAACAAAACAAACCCCTGTAAAGTCAATTCCAGCTCTTAGTGACCCTATAGGACAAAGTAGAACTGCCCCATAGAAGATCCCATGCCGTGAACTGCAAGGTCAGTGGTTCAGGCTCACCAGCTACTTATTGGAAACCCTATACAGGGTCGGTATGGGTCGGAATCAACTCTATAGCACTTAACAACAACAATCATTATGGAATCAGACTGTAACATCTCCCTTTCACAGCGCAGCTAAGCACTTTAACCACTGTGCTACCAGGATACCTTTTTTAACATTGGACAGTTGACTAAGAGTGCTGGTGTGCTATATACTTGGTTCCAACTCATAGCACCCTTGCAATAGGGTTTCCTAAGCTGCAGATCTTTATGGGACCAGAAAGCCTCATCTTTCTCTTGCCTAACAGCTGGTAGTTTAAAACTACTGACCCTGAGGTTAGCAACCCAATTTGTAACCACTACGCTACCAGAGCTCCTTAGTAAGTAGAGGAGACACTCAATAAATGCTTGTTTCTTATGTAAAACCTTTTGAATGGCTATGTGGTAGCATCCTTAATGCTGAGGATTCACCAGTGTAC